TTAATGTCGCTAATCTTTGGAGATTCATTTTTTAACATAAATGTCCGCATGATGCTTTTTCAAATCGTCATCTCTGAGGAGGTCCACCGCTTTAGCGCCGTCTCCGAGCATCAAGTATGAGATATCAACGACCCGGTCTGCCTGCCACGCTGGTGATCCCTCGTTGAAATGTAATAAAATGAGATTAGACAAGAATAGACTGGATTATTCAGCCTGTTAAGATCTCTCCTGGCCCACACAGAAGGACTTTACATTAGGCTGAGTGGGTAAATATCACATTACTCAATCTAACGTTATAACAGTTGGCTCTGATGGTGGACGCTGTTTGGACCACTTCATTTTGCACCGTGTGAAAGAAAATGTAACGCAACAGGAAAGCAGAGAGAAAAATGTTTCACTGCAAATCTTAGAAGCAGAGTTCATAATTATGATGTTGCACCATATTGTAAGTCTGTGTGAGAGTGTATATTTTTATATTGTTATTAATATATAGTTTAGATCTGTGCTGCTAAACAATTTCTCATTGATTCTGCAACAATGACAACATAGATGTTAAATAAAGAGCTGATCTTAGAATTAGGTTGAAGATCACTTAATGTGAGATGACTGGACAAACTCAGTGCTGCTGTAGAAAATGAAAATAAACAAACACTATGATATGATAGACTATGAGAGGCTTCCACTTAATGATAGAATTCTACTTTAAAACATGTCTAGAGGCTGTTGTTGCGTTTTTACAAAGGCCTCGATGTGCACAGGGGAACTGATTAAATTTAGCCCAAATTTTTTGCAGATTTCTCTTTTTCTAACATGTTGAGAGATTTAGTGTGTTTTCCAACAGGATTTGTGAAAAAGGTTTTTCTATATGATTGTTTCCCCTTTTCTAATTATGCTTCTGTTTGCAGGACAAGAACATGATGTGTTGTGTTGGAGTGGAGATGACACAGATACCTGCATTTTACTCCTGATTGGGCCTCATCACGCAGAACTTGTCCTCCCCCGATACTTCGTCGAACACCCATTCATTAGATCTCGATTAAAATAGTGTGTTAGTGTAATTCAATTCAATTGTATTACTGTAGCACTTGATCACAGCAGTTCCCTCAAGGGGCTTGATACTCTAAGGTGAAGACTCTACAATAATAGAGAAAACCCAACAATCAGAAGATGAGTGAGCACTTTGGCAACAGTGGGAAGGAAAAACTCCCTTTTAACAGGAAGAAACCTCCAGCAGAGCCAGGCTCAGGGAGGGGCGGGGCCATCTGCTGAGACTGGTTAGGGGTTGAGGGAAAATACTGAAAAGGGGAGAAAAAAAAAAATCACGGAGTCTTACCAGCTACTGATCGTAAAAAAATAGCAACTTAACTAGAAGACACAGCTCGACTTGGCACCACTCTTATCTGTGATTGGTTAATACTGAATGTTATAGTCGCCTAAGATATCGATCCGTCTTTAGTACGGCTGCACAGACAGTTCTGTGTGGGCACATGGAAGCTAGGCTAAAACTAGGTATCAGTTTAAGCCACCTCTCCTATATGACCAACAGTGTGCCAGTGTGGGGAAAAATAAATGATTATTATTCTTTTTAAATACTTTTCAACTTGCCCAGTCTAATTTCTTCTGTGTGTACGTATACTGAGCTTTTATTGCTAACAGGTCAGCTAAGCACACGGCTGCTGATAACCTCATGTAATGGATATTTTTAGATTCCTGCTAACATGAGCGTCACCAGGCAGCTTTACTTAGTGAATTAGCAGCTGAACTCTTTAACAATGTGAAACAGAAGATGACTTAAGTCATAGCACTGAATCTTTATTCATTTATTTATTTTTTAGCATAATGATAGTTTCTACTTTCTAGTTAGCTCAGTGCTGCGTGCCAACAGAGGGATCTACTGCACAGGAGGACGAAAGCATCGCCTTTTCAAATAAAAAGCGATTCCATGTGTTCTTGTGAGCGCAGTCTTCTGCAGCCCTCTGCAGTGAGAGTAAATCTTTAAACAGATATTGATTGCGCCTACAGCAATCACTTCTTTTTGCAGATGCGGTGGAGCTGGACCTGTCAGCCTGTCATCTGTTTGAGGCAGACATCAATAAAGCTCCGAAAGCCCACGAAAAGAACTTCTGGCTCTAACCGGACCGGTTTCCTCCATCCACTTGGATCAGCCCTCCTTATTTCCAGGATTATAGTTGCTTTGAGGAGAGAAGCTCGCCAAGATAAGATGCAGCCAGATCTCATCACTCCGGCCTTTCATATCTCATATTTCCTTCCGACAGCTTTCCCCTAGATGCAATATCTAACACAATTTTTGCCAGCTCCTCTTAAATCAAATGCCTCGTCCAAATCAAGTCATGAATCACTTAGTTAGCAAAGAAGGAGCCATGCTCTATGATAAATATAAACCAGTGTCAGCATGTACAATTCAGACACACACCATTTCTAATGTGTGGTATCAGATTCGGCATCACTGTGTGTTGACAAACATTTTACTACTGCAGCAAGTGGTGAGCGGCTTTTTCCACTGAAATTTCAGGGACAGAGGAGACAACAGGTGCTTCGAGGCTTCCCTTTCATATTCTCGGCACTGCAGAATGAAGCGCCGGCTATATTTATGGGCTGATATCAGCTCCTTAAGCTAGATTTTACATGCCAAGGAGGGCAGTGGAGTACCATGACCGGCTCCCAGGGGAGGATGAGGGGTGAAGACTAAAGACTCGCTGGGCTGTAGAGGTTTATTCAAGGCCTGTTTTATGACCCCGAGCGTAAAAGGCTGGTGGTCCGCATGAGACAAAGTAAGAAAGGCAACATTTTTAATCAGTTTAAAAAAGGCACAATCACAAGAGATGTGCAAATATTCCAAAAATGGTGGCGAAGGAAGTTTTCAAAGAAAAGACACAGCGATAAAGAGAAAGTAAGCGGGGGAGGGGGGCAAGTTGGAGCCAAGCAAGTTAAGAAGTATTTTTAGGAAGACGTTTATTTGTGGGTCTGTGAAACCAACCCGGGGTGTATACTTAACAGCCTTGCCATCCATCTCTCTCTCTCCTCTCTGCTACCATCTGTTGAGGTCTCTCAGCCTGTCACTGCGCTTCAGCTCTGGGAGACATTTTTCATTGACGGAAGAATTCTGCAGATTCACTGCAGCTGACGTAAAATGTGCCCGTTTCACTGATCTATACCCAGATTAGGTGCTGGTTACAGGTTAGATTAGGTTATGTCTTTGAGTACAGCAGGATATGGAAGCAAGCACGGTCCCTACACTTCAATAACTGTCAGAGATGGGAATAGGAGCATGCGATTCCTGAAATACTCAAAAAGAATATTAGACATATTTCACAAAGGGGATTTTTCTTTTTGCTCTCTTCAGCTCAGCTGAACACAAACAGCAGCTGGAAGTTATGTTGAACTTTTTGAAGGTTCTATTGCTGATTTAAACCTCATTTGTCCAAATATGTCATCTTTAGAGTAAAGTCATGTGCTGTCTCTGCATTAGCTGAAGCCAAAGTCTCAGCTTTTACTTTTCTTGAGCCAAACTGTACAGCAACACAAGAAAACCTTTAAAAAAAAAAGTGCAACCTTATAACATTAACTGTATCACATTTTATGAGTTTCTTTTGACTATATTAAAACATGTCTTTGTTTAACAGGCTGTGAGCAATAAATTATACAAAAAAGCCAAATGTAGCTAAAAATGATACAACTTAACTCTCATATATGCACATTTATTTCTACTCTCTTTTTTCCAGATTCAATAAAAAAAATATCGAGCTTAAAATTTGCTGGTAATTATTTCTGGTTTTACAGGATTAACATCTCTATGAAATCATGTTAACTGAATGTATCCTTGCTCCCTTTGCATTTCTGACATGCCAGCTAGGAAGAGAAGGCTAATGACTTTGAGTCAGGTGCGGCAAACAGCTGAAACTTCCTGTTTAATTTGAATATGTTTTGGTAGCTCTCTTTCATTATGTGAAACAGAAATCTTCCTGATGGCTATTTCCAGCCCGGGCTTCCTGGTAGGTGAAGGCTGTGGTCATCCAACATGGCGACCAATTACAAACCCTTAGGATCAAAAATACCAAACATGAAAATCAGTTCAGTCTGTTCACTGAACTGAAACATCGCAGTGGGTCATTTGTGTGCAAGGTGAACACCTCAAAGACAAAAGTGTAGCTCATTAACCTTTGCCAGTGTTGTTTTTGTCCCAGTGTGCCGTGCCAGACATCACCTGTGTCACTTGACTTTTGCTCCAGCAGCTCATTAAACACACCTGTCATGCTCTTTCTCCATGCGACCTTAAAGGTTGGCCTAACCCCACCCTGCCCAACTCTCGTTCAGTATGGGTTTCAAAATAAGATTAAAGACATACTTTAAGAGTTGTTGCTTTACTTTTTAAGTCATAAAATGTAATATTCCTCAGTAACATAAGAGGCTGTTTTAACAGGAAATTGTGGTATAGATAATTAAAAAAAGGCATACTTATATTGGTCTAATGTAACTTAACAAATGGTATAATTATTGTGAGTATTTCCCCTCTGCTTTTACGCCATCCTTTGCATCCTTATCTCCAGGTTGGCTTAATGTCCTTATATCCCTATAAACTCGCATGTACTTTAAAAGTTAAGTGAAAAACGCAGGCAAAGTAAGAAAACAAAAACCTCCGGGAGGTGGTAATATATTTAGACAGTCTGCAAGGCAATCAGGGGTAACTGAAAGACAACACTGAGAAAGTTCCACAGCCTAAAATATCTGCCCACACAGCTTCAAGCAGGACTGAAGTGCCAGGTGTGAGGCCAGCGAAGGCGCGGTTTCATATTAGACTTCACACAATTAGACCAACACCACTGACTCCCAAATTAAATTCAGTCTGCCTTGTTAACGTGTTAAAAGCATTTTTTTTAAAGCGCCGCTCACTGACTTGAATGCGAGCGAAGAGGTTCGATCTGTGCGTAATTACGCACGTCGGTACAAGCGCTACTCGAAACCGCTTTATCCAAACCTACCTTCCGCTGCTGCTTCTCCCAGGCGGGGTCCAGCAGCAGATCCCTGTCCCAGTCCTCCTCCTGGGTCATGTACGCGTCTTCATGTTGGATCGTGTAGGAGTTGGTGTATGTTATTTGGGTTTCGACAGCTGTCATGGTTCCGCCTCAGTCAGGACTTTACGCGTCCCCCTCAGCTTATTGGTAATAAAAAAAAAAATCAGCAATAGAAACGACGAAGATGACGCCGTGAGGCCAAACAACCTCCTTGAGACTTAGAGGTCTCGCTTTCGCGGGGGGAGAGAGAGAGTTAGGGGCTGCAGAGACCAGACTCCACTGGTGCGAGGTGCCTGTGCGGAGGTGGTGCTCCCACTACCAGAAGACCCTGCTGGCCGGTGCTCCTTTCCTGGTCAAAAGTGGCACACGTGACCGCACCCCAATAAGTATGGGAACCGACAGCGTGGGTATCAGGTTCTGGGCCTAAAAAGGTGTGAAAGGCGGGGTGGTCTCCCGCGGGTAGGGATGAGGGGGCTCGTGAGTGGTGTGGAAGTATGTCAATAACGCCTCCTTTCAGCAGAGAGGTTTTTATGGCCTGTGCAATGCACCTGTTGCTGTTAATGATCCTCAATGGCAAAGCCAGGCCTCTGTGCTTTCAGCCTACCTACAAATTCAAACAACTGAGTCATGTATTCTTTAAAAAACAAAAAACAAACCCCACACGAGTCAATAAAATTAAGACACCCATTTCTGAGATTTTGACAACTTCTCCCCTCTGGCTCCAGCTCAATCTAACCCCAGGCAAAGCAGCTCCTCCCTGCACTGCTCTCACTGGCAGCAGCTCACGCCATCTTACTCCTCACTCTAAAATTAGGCTGCAGGTAAAATGCATAGTTCCTGCTGTCCTAAACTACACAGCAAAGGATCAAGCACCAAATAACAACAAACTCAGGCAAATTATATGAGAAACAAAAAGATTTATTCATGATTTTTGTTCATGCAGACTGAAAAAAAATACCTCAACATCTTAAGAAATACAGACCAAAAGGCATAAATATATGCACACACAACCATACAGTATAATTGTCTTCATATCAGGATTTGTCATTCACAGTAAACATGTTGACGCAAATGTTTGATCCGACATTCACGGTGTGAAAATCCCCTCATCGTTCAGCGTTGTGCTGGATTCGATTTCTTTGAAAGAGGAGCAGATCCCGATTGCTCTCCTCTTGAGATGACACACTATTCTGTCACCCCTGACGTCTTTGGAAACTAGAACGATTAATATTGTAATTAACTGAGGCGTTTCGTTTAACTACACTAAGCTTGGTCCATTAACCTACTTGAAGAAGCTTAGCTACTGCGCGACTATTTGTGGTTACAATTAGGTTTGTGACTGAGCAGCTGCTGAGACGAGGGAACTGAAATGGCTAAACATACGGTAATGCCACCGTGGGACTGCTGACAATGAAATGGTCCGTGGAGAGGGAGAAAAAAAAGATGGGCTTGGCCTCAGGTGGCCTGTAATCATATAAGGGCAGAAGGGTGGACAAAATAACATGAACGCCTTTCACTCTAATGCCAGCCAACACACTATTACTGCAGTTATGAGGGGAAAAAACCTTATAAATGATCAATAAATGCAGTGATTTTTGTATTGAGCTGCACTGCATCCTGCTGGCGTTCACATGCTGTCTGCCCCCCTCTATACGAGGTAACGTGTGAGATAAGACACTCCTGACGCTTTTATCTGAAGAGAGGATAAGCATCATTAGAAGTGTGATTCTGTGATTCACATCTGTGCTAGATGACCTAGAAAAGTCTCGTTAATGAAACCTGCTTCAACTAAAAAAGGCATCACGGTCTACAGTGTGAGGGCTGGGCTCAAACCTAAGCCGGAGTGGGTTCTGTTCCCGATGTACATCTCTGCCGGTGTCTGCTGTACCCTGTGGGATCCCATCAAAAAAACAACACAATACACAAATATATATCTATATAAATGTGTGTGTGTGTGTGTGTGTGTGCAGAGTATCTCAGTTCTTCAGCTGTCCAAACCACAGAAGGCAGGGGGAGTTTGGGTGAGGAAGTGGAAGTCGAGAGGAGGCTGCAGCTCCGTCTGTCTGTGAATTCAGAGCAAGAGGGTGCGCGGGGCGGTCGGGGGTGTTTAAGAGATGCGTGGCTGCATTCACCCAAGCACAGGAAGCCTAGACTCACAAGCACCAGAAGAAGCCTTTTTAGTGAGGAGCCGGCAGAGTTGGAGGGGAGGGGTGAGGTGGCTGGAGGGGGAAAAAAAACTGGAGCACGGTGTGCCCTGATCATGGAGGCTGAGGAGGGGTTTCATCAGCTGCACTGCTTAAAGGACCAGTGTGTAGGATTTACTCGTGGAAACAGAATACAGTACTCAGTTCAATTGTATCGATATAGCGCCAAATCACAACAGCAGTCGCCTCAAGGTGCTTTAGATTGGAAGGTAACACCCTACATTAACAGAGAGGACCCCAACGATCAGACGACCCTCTTTGAGCAAGCACTTTGGCGACAGTGGGAAGGAAAAACTCCCTTTTAACAGGAAGAAACCTCCAGACGGACCATGCTCAGGGAGGGGGCAATCGCCTGTGACTATATTACATACAGTATTACATGCAGTACTCATAGTTGTGTTTGTTTTCATTAGTGTAAAGAGCCCTTCAGGTTTTCTCTAATCTGTGCTACGCTGAGGTCTGCAGACTCACAACTTCACGCTGTGGTTGCGTGCTGTTGCCATGGCGGCCTGGTTGTAAATGTGCGCAGCATTTAGTGACACAGGCTACCCGCGTTTTTGTGCTTTCGTTGGTCCTTTGTAGTAAAGTGAAACCGGGTGACTGAAAGCAATGAAAACGGACACAGTTGTTCCTCTTTGTGGTGAACTGCACTATTGCTCCCTTTCCTGTTCGAGCCAGCTTTTCGGCCAATCAGCATTCAGGATATCAGGATATGTGCTTTTTGGTCTTTCACCACATCTACACATGGCCTCTGCATCTGTCAAATACCCACAATCCTTCCTTCTAGGCAAATGTGCACTAATGTAGGACTATGGATCCTGCACTACACGTCCAGTCCTCGAACGCCACTAAATCCTACACAGCGGTCCTTTGGAGAGAAATAAACCTGGCCTCTATGTGCCTCTAAATGCATCCACACATGATGAACTCATCATTTGTGTTTTTTAAAAAAACTTAATGTGTCTGTGAATGCAAAAAAAAAAATCAGTTTTTTTTTGCACTTTGTATCCAAGCAACAGAGACATCAGATTCTAGGGCTCGTTATTATTAGCACAGACACTGTGTGCGACAACGTTCTCTTTTGATAAGGTTCTGGCCAGTGACTCTATTATGGGATGCTCCAAGATCAGAAAGGTGAGGTTAGAAAGTAGCTTTGGGCCAAAGGATCCTTCCACTACCAACTCACCTTATCAGTAAGTCATCTACTCAATCCTCCCCACCTCCTTTTAGTTTGTTAGGCAGACAGAAAGGCAGCGCCACGCTTGTCTCGACTCCGTCTCGCAGCGGTCGGAGCAAATGTGAGACAAACTCATCTGACATACAGCGAGTGTGTGCGGGACTGTGTGTGTGCATCAATAGTCTTAACAGGTAAGAATGTAGACGAGGCGTGGCTGTTAAACAACAAAACAGAGCTTCTGTGAGTCAAACCGGTGTGACGTCTCATTATTTAATAGCCACACCTCATACAAGTCACTCATAGCACATATCCAGCCGGTCCAGCTGACACTAGGATTAGAGAAACAGAGCTGCCGTACCAGAAAAGTCCTACAGGAGTCCCGAGATTGGTGAGAATCTACAGGTCAGACTGGCCTCATTAGCCGATCTTATAGGACGTTTCTGATTGGCACACAGGCTGTGAGGGACCCAAGGCAAACCCCCTGTTGGTTTATCTCGTTTTGTCATGGCGCTAAGGTCTTATGGGAGTTACGATTCCTTCCACAGCTGTGTGGCGCAAACCCATCATTCAACAGTTTCAGCAAAGCGGCTCGTCCAACACTGAAGTCTCTCTGTGTCGTGTTACTGAGTCCGGCGGCGGGCCACCACACATACACTGTCCGTTGGCACGCCCAGGCCACTACGGTAACAAAAGGAGGGTGGGTGGGTAGTTTGGGTTTAGGTGGGTGGTTCTGGGAAGTCTGAGTCCGAGCCAGAGCCACAAACCCAGATCCAAGGTGGTGGTGGTGGCGGCGGCGGTGGCGGCGGGAGTAGGGGGGGAAGAAAAAAAAAAAAAGCGCTGTGTATTTGTGTGTGAACGGCGGAAAGGAGAGGCGCACAGGAGGGCGGGGTTAAGGAGGAGGAGGTGTGAGAGAGGGAAGGGGGAAGAAGGAGGGAACCGGGGCGGGCAGAGAAGGGGCAAGGGCGGCGAATACGGCGGTGGCGAGGGCAGGGGGGAGGGTGTCAAGCCTCACCAATCAATGAAATACCGCCCACAGAAAAATAGACAAACAAAAAAGAAGCTGTTTTCTCTTTAACACACACACACACAGACACACACCAGCAGGACAGAGAGGGCGCGCCAGTCGCCTCCTAAAGCTGATTGCAAGACTTGACTGAGACCTGTGCAGGGGTCCTAACCCCACCCAAACCCTGCCCACCAAACCCACAGAGGAGAAGCCCAAGGCTGTAGCCGCGGCACCGCCACTGCAGCAGAGGAGGAGTTACGGACTGGGGGAGGTGGGGGAGGAAGGTGGCGATGGCAGTGTGGAGAGGAGGGAGGTGGGGAGGGAGTGTTTGTTCAAGGCACAGTCAAAGGAGGGGGCGGCAGGTTGGGAGAGGGGAAGTCAGTGCTCTTTAGGATTTCTTTCCTGCTGTTGTTGCGTTTTGTTTTTTTGTAAACTTTTTTTTATTTACCTTGGTGGTGAAGAGAGAGAGAGAACGAGTTCCCGCTGCGTTGGCGTCGCGCTAAAAGTCGTCCCCATGGCTCACGCCGCCACGCTCACGCACGGCTGCACCCCGGCCGTTCCAGGCGGCACGGTGACCTATTTCAGTTGAGATAGTTAGTCAAGAGCTGGACTGACGTGGGGCTTGTTTGTTTGTTTGTTTGTGCGGCAGAGTTACAGATTATCACACATGCAGGTCTGAGAGCAGAGAGGACACAGAGACACACGGAGAGGGAGAATTTGGTACAGCAGGGGAGATACCAGACCAGACCAGACACACACCCATCAAACCCCCCCGCCCAAGGAAACAGGACTGCTCCACAGATCAAAATGCACCCAGGCCATTCTATCTGTGTGCCTCTCCCCAGCTCTCACTGTGCCAAAACATCATTTCTACAAGAAAAATCCTTTTTTTAACTTTTAATGTTACAGAGCCAGAACGAATCGCTGAAATGCATGTTCTCAAATGCAAATGAACCCCAAAACCCTTTGGTTGAGTTGGTTTGCACTGAGTTTGAGAGGCTGGAGAGAGGAAAGGAGCACCAACCTGCACTTACCCCGACCAAAGAGAGCAAAGCTGGGCCAGCATCTACACCTGTCTCCCCCTTGGGTCCCCAGTCAAATGGGTCTGGTGGTCATTTTACACAAGAGAAACAGATAGTGGGAGAAGAACAACATAAACAAGAAGAAGAAGAAGAAGGGGAAATGTCCAAACCCTTTGCTTTCTTTTACCACATTAGTGTCAGCCAAAACATTCTTTATTATAATAAGGTTTATAGTAATACATATTCTCAATAAAAAGCATGCTGATTTTTTTTTTTTGAATGATTTTTTTTTTTAAACTTTTGACTTTTTATATTTTTCTTAAAAAGAAGGCAAAAAAAATGAAAATACTTCTCTAAAAAATACGATCTCAAACATGGCAAACAAGACATTTCGCAAACCACATAGTTCTACAAAGGATGCAACTGGTATGTGTTCTGTATATACGACACAGAGAGAGATTACACCGTGAGATGCAAAGAAGTCGCTCAACCGCTAAAAAACAAAAAGAAAGAAAGAAAGAAAAAAAAACACAGGGGGAGAGAGAGGAGGGGAGGAGGGGGGGGAACGGGAGGGCAGTAAAGGGGCGTGTGCAGCAGACCGCCGTCACATAGCAGTTGCAAAATACTTTGAAAGTGGCTGTTTTAATGAAACGCAGAGCTACGCGGGTGGGATTTGCCACTCGTGAAAGTCCAGTTCTACAAGCTCTAACAGATATATTAAAACAGACACTTTCGCTCGTTTCCCTTTTTTGCAATCGCAATCTAAAGCTGGTCTGGTATTCGGAGGGTCAAAGAAGCACGTGGACGACGCTGCCCCACCTCTCACTTCATTGGTGCTATCACTGTCGTTTCTGCTTTAACCAGCAGCTAGTAAAGTAACGAACCCGTGAAGGCTCGGTTTGTGGCTTTTTCTTTTAAGAGCTGTGAAACAAATCCCAGAGAAAGCTTCGCTCGCTCTCCAAGCCTTCTGGATACTAAAGCTCTGGAGGTCGGGCTCCCCCCGCCCTCCTTGAAATGATTAAAAAATAATGTCAAAAGCACTTAAAAATGGGAGGTCCCTCCACTTAATGCACTTCACTCGAGGCTTTATAGGCACATGATTGAGCTTGTCACATACCATCGTGGTTTCCAACAGGATGCGATTAAAAGATCCTTTTGTAAACTGCTCCCTCAGTAGTAACACATTGATTTTTTTCTCCCTCCTTTCACCACCGTTTACAGTTCATCACATCCCAGGCTGACTTACGTCACAGGTAAACAACAGAAAACACATTTACACTATTTTTAAAAAAGGCCTCTGAAAATGATGGACTCCATACGGAACATCTACAAAAAAAAAGTCACTGTCGGTAATATCTGGCTCCTCCCCCTCTAAACTGCTGACCCTGTCCCTTTACAAGGAGCGGGAACTGCCGACAATATAAGAGAACACAATAGAAAAGAATAGACATTGAAATTTGCTGTAAGAGGTAGGCAGCTGTAATTACAAAGAGCGAGAGAGGGAGAGGTGAAGCAGTGTCTTTCATTGCTGCAGTTAGAGTAAGGGTGGAGCGGGAAGGGAGGAGGGGGGGTTCAGAAAAAAAAAAAGGGAGTCAAAGGGGAGATCCAAACATACATTACAGTACGTTTATGTGTGCTTTACTCTTTTTTTTCTCTCCTTTCCTTTTCGGCAAAGTTTTATTTTCTTTTTTTGCTGCTGCGTTTGTGCGCTGCAAGGTCAGCAAGCCCTCACCTCTCACTCGCTCACACGCGTCACAGCCCACGTCACATTCAAGACAAAACGTCCCTCGAAAAAAAAACCCCCCAAACAAACCAAAAAACAAAGAAGACTCAACCTTGGTTCGGCCGGACGCGACGCAGCGCAGCCGTCACGCGCGAGAGCGTCGCCCTGACTTTCCATCTGGTTACGTTGCAAATTGAAACTCTTCAACATAAGGCAAAAAAGGTTTCAAATTAGCTGCCCTAACTGATCATCTAGGCCTAAGGAGGATGGCTGATGTCGTCAATCGAAGGTCTCGGCCTTAGAAAATCATAACTGGGTTTGCGGAAATAAAGGCATATATGAAACGGCCGAGCGGGTCGGCCTAATACTGGCACACGTGTGAGACTGGCACGATAAAAAAGTAAAACTGAGAAGCACAAAGAATGCCCGCGCGACAGATGAAAGCCTCCCTTTCGGTGGCTGCACTGTGTGCGCGTGCAAACTGAACCAAGGCTGGCGTATCAAGTTTCTCCTAAAGCAGGTTAATAAACCAAGGAGTCCCCAGTTTAATACCACACACTTAGAGCCCCCAGACACACACACACCCACACACACACACACGTACATACAGCTGCTGTAAGGTGGTCAAGTTTGGGGTTGGAAGAGGAGATTGGGGCGGGTGAGGGAGGGTGAAGGGTGGGAGGGGTTCAGGGCAAAGAGGGAGGGGCGGGCAGAGAGTTGTGTGCGACTATCGGAAGGGGGGCTCAGGCGTGTGAAGGGAGAGTTCGGGGCGGCGGAGGATGGCCTCCTTGCGCGTGGGCGGCGGCAACGGCGGCTCATACACCCTGGGCGCAGCCATGGCGGCTGCCACTGCCGCAGCGGCGGGGACCACTGGCCTGAGTGCGTCCAGCGTGGCGACGGGCTGGGCTTGCATCGCGGGGACAGCCTGAACTGCTTGGACCGCTTGCATGGCCTGCATTCCCGGCATGCCAGGGATGGCGGTCACTGCGCTCGGTGATGCGTAGGCATACTGGAACTGTGGGTACTGCTGGAGCTGCTGGTAGTACTCCGCGTAGTACCTAAGACGGGGGAGGACAGAGATGGTTAGGTTAAGGACAAATTTAGTTGAAGAGAAAATAGTTTGCAGTGAACAGTGAACCACGAGCTAAAACCACAAGAACAACATCAGATTTGTAAAGGTGAGGGGGCACCTTGATTTTTTAGAAAACATGAAAGTTGAAGATTTCTGTCATTATTTCACATCTGCTGCTTAGCAGGAAACAGAATCAAAGATTATATCCTACCTGGCCATGGGGTCTTCTGCGGCTTCCACTGCCTCTTCAGCTGCTCGACCAGCTGGCGTGGGGAGCAGGGGTCGGCGTGGCTTGGCCCTCTGGTACATAAATGGCTTCATCACAGGGTCCGGAAGCAGAGGTGCCGACCTTCGCAGTGGACTGCGATCCCTCTCTCCGGACTTTGCCACAGCTGCTGCTGTGGCGGCAGCTGCCGTCTGCTGCTCAGCCACAACCTGCTGGCCCTGGGCGAAGTAATGCGCCTGCCTGGCAGCCTCAAAGATAGCTGTAGTCGGGTCCGCTGCTCCCATGGCGCTTAACTGAGCGTAGGCTGGTGCGGCGGCGCTGTAAATCGCAGGCGCTACAGAGTAGGCAGAATTGACGGCAGCTGCCGCTGTTGGCATTTCTATCCCAGGAGCCGCGGCCAGATAGACGGGGTGGTTGGCCATTGTCGGGGTGTAAACCGGAGTTGTGTAGGCAGCGGCAGCGGCGGCAGCAGCAGCGGCGGCTGCTGGGGACGCAGCCACCTGACCGTAAATATTAGGTGTCATGGAGCTGTATACCTGCGTGGCCCCTGACGTGAGAGCGGCCTGATTGGCCACCGTTCCGTAAAGCTGATTGGCAACGTTGGCACCGTACACCTGGCTGGCAAGGGCACCATAAACAGCTGGATTTACCGGGTTCCCATCTGTGCGTGTCCCGGTGGTAATCCCTGTGAGAGCAGCATAAGTGGGATCAAAGGTGGAGGTGTTGTAGACTGAATTGTGCACGCTTTGCTGGACCTGCAGCGGTAGGCCGGCGGCCGCAGCGGCGGCAGCAGCCAAGACCGCTGCCTGACTCTGGTACTGCTCCAGAGAAGGTTTCCCCACAGGGCATTCTCCAGCATAGTGGCCCTGCTTCCCACAGTTCACACACGGGATCTTCCCCGTCGGCGCCTGCTTGCTGGGCTGGACCTTGGAGAGCTCTACGGACAGGGGCCGGCCCTTGAAGGAGGTGCCGTGCAGGGCTTCGATGGCCTGTAGCGCATCTTCCTTGTTTTCCATGTGAACAAAAGCATAGCCTGTGGAAAAGCAATGGCTGGATGTGATTCAGTGCACTGATAATAATAAGGATCACATTTGCTTAGGAAAATGAACTGTGCCAAAGGAAAGTGCACAACTTTACAATCGGGGCATTAGCTTAAACTTTGAACTTTGCCCTCTGCAGTCTTTTTCAGGCGCTCCCAGCAATTCAGCAGCTGTAATTAAACCATAAAACAGAATCTAAACTTTAACTTCACTTCAACTGTGAGTAGAGACCTGGCTTACCTTTGACTTTGTCACATTCGAGGACTTTCCCGAACGTCTGGAACAGCTGCTGGAGGTCTTCTGTGGTGCACATGCCGCTCAGATTACCCACAAACACCTTGGTGGAGTGCAGCGGCCTCCCCCTCGATTCCTCCACCACCAAATTCCGACCACGAAACTCCCGTCCATTGAGCTCCCGGATGGCCCGCTCCGCAGCACCCTCCCCCTGCAGATGCACAAAGGCGAACTGCCGCAGCACGCTGCAGCTGACCACCTGACCGTAGGGTTCGAAGATGGCCGACAGCTCTTCCTGCGTGGTGTCCAATGCCAGGTTACCCACGAAGAGCTTCACTGTGTGGCTCTTGTCCATGGCGCTGTGGAGAAACAGAGGGAGCATCGCTTTGACTGTTTGTTTAGAGATAAGTGAAAGGATTAGCAACACGGTATGACTATCAGCTGCCCCAGACGCGACAGTTACTGAGTGAGCATGAAGACACACCTTTGGCTCAGCGTTAGTCTGACAAGGAGAAGACTACAGGGGTGAAAAGCAGACACAGTGTATGAGCATCAAAAGCTTGGAAATGTCATTATCTCAAGCCTAAAGCTTTTATTCATTTTTAGACGACAAAAAAAAAAAATCACAGATGAAAGAAGCGATCAATTTTTAGCTTAAAGAGTAAAAGAGAAAAACCCAGAAACTTGCTATTTGGAGAAAACGTTAAACGCACCCATATATACACACACTCTTGATAAAGAACCTTTATGCATGAATGAGGAGGCAGATTAACATTCAAATTCCTCAAATTGAATACCACACTGACCACAGATTTGCCTCAGAGTTGCCCGCTGAGGTCAGATAAAGTCATATTATGTAAAAACAGAGCAGTGGAGATCGTGCTAGCGAATAACCGCTAAACATTTACAATAAATGCCACAGAGATCACAGAGTTCGCTTAAGGAGACGTCGCTCTCACTCGCGAGAAGCAGGCTGTGACTACCCATGCAGCTATGAGTCACCCTCATACAGAGGAGACACAGGCGAAAGGAGCATTTTGCACCAACAACTTCAAGGAGCAGTGCTGCTCCTAAACTCACGACGCATTTATAGTGACTTTCATGAATCCGGGTGCTTTAAAGAGAACCTATCACAGCTTTCCTCATTTTTCTGTCACATACACCGTTATAACACCGAATGTTCATATTAATTGTGGTGAAAGTTTCTTGTAATGAGGTCCACATATGTAGAAATAATCCCTGTGAGATAAATCAGGCTTAAAAGCTCAGTTTGATACAGTGTTGTCGATTCCTGGTTCTGTGTGATCTCACTAGAGGAAATATGCCTAATATGGTCATCTCAGGCACAAATGTGGATGTAGCGTTCAACTTTCTGATAAGTAGCTAAGTCAAAGTGCCTCAAACATGCATTCATATTAATAGCCAGCAGGGGGCGACGTCTGTGGTTTCTGGTTGCGTAGGCCTCTATTGGAAAATGGTCTTCTGCTTCCTCGCTTTGTGACCTCGGTAAACACCCTGCTGATGACTAAGACCTCGACTATACTCCACTGTGGACTCGCTCACCATTTGATGATGACGTTTATGTGGAGCGGACCTGAATGGACCCTAGCGGACTGACGGGGAAAGCATAATCCCGGCCCTAAGATGCATCCACACCAGAAGCAATGTGGTGATCATGGAGCACAGAAAGTGAAAGAGGACAGCTGGTGACTTCAGCATCTTTTCTCAACTTCCAGGCGACTGTCAGTGTGAGCACAGGATAGTGTTGATTACCATATGACCTGTCAGTATGCATATTAGTGGGTTACCTAGGCAACCGGATCCTGGAACGTTTGCAAGTGATGAGCCGTCAGTTAGTAAGTGACACGAGAGGAACAAATCGCTTCCAGTGGACCCAGCGTCTCTTGTTTTAGGTCATGCTGCAAAGAAAATAAGTGAATTTTGTAAGATGAATAGATAGATGGATATTTTACTTAATGATTAATTATCTGAGTAAATAAACCTTTGATTTTGGCCACATTTAAGATGTATTTTACCCATATTAATGCTTCGTGTTTTCGGCAGCATTAAGAATAATAATAAAAGTAGTATAATCTACAATAAACAGGTCAGGGGCTCATATTGAATATTTACAAAGTTTTATATGGAATATGATAAAATAATACAAAATTATGTTAAAGAAAAATGAGACTGACACAGTGAAAAACAGATCTTTAGCAAACAGTAATGCAAAATTTGGTGATTCTGAGAGTCAGAAAGGAGGATTACCCCGCGTACGCTCTTTGGATAATGACTTCTCAATCACTAGACATCAGACAGCGAGCTTGTGTCCACAGTTTCAGAGTCAGTTTAAAGACACAATTACTGAACGGGGTGGGAAAAGCATGTTAGCGCAATCCCCAAATAGTACTTGTAAGTGTGGTAAGTTTTGCGTGTGGTTTACAAAAGTTGTTCCGTTTTCCAAGCACAAGCGCAATCAGTGCATTTCAATGTTAAACACAAAAAATAGGGCAAGCTTTGTCCTCCGTTAAATCTTAAATTAGCAGTAAACTGTGTGTCACAAACAGTAAATCACTTTGCACACTTATATATTTTCCTCCCTATATTTTGCACCTTCAGAAAGGAACTCCGAGCATACATATCCAACATGGTCGGTCTGAGAAGTCTCAGAGTTCCTCCACCTCGTCCTCCATGTCCACTTACACACAATCTTGTCACTGGGCTCTTTTCTAAATACACACAGTACTTCCTTCTATGCCAGAAACCACTTTGTGCTGTAACACATTACTAAATCTGACCCGAAGATGACACACCTCTGTATATGAGCACAGAAGCTCATCTTTGGTTTAAATTTCGTTTTGTTTATATAGCGACAAATCACTGCAGCAGCCGCCTCAAGGTGCTTTGTATTGTAATTTTAAGACCCCATAACTATCCAGAGAAAAGCTTAACAATCATTTTGAGCAAGCACTTGGCAACAGTGGGAAGGAAAAACTCCCTTTTAACAGGAAGAAACCTCCAGCAGAACCAGGCTCGGGGAGGGGCGGCCATCTGTGACAAAGACATGCTGTGGAAGAGAGCTTGACATCGTTCCAGTGAGGTGTATAAACACACAGTGATTCAAAAAGGTGACTGAAGAAGAACAACTCAGTGCATCATGGGAGTCCCCCAACAGCCTACACCTATTGCAGCATAAATAAGGGAGGTGTCAGGGTCACCTGGTCCAGCCCTAACTATATGCTTTAGCAAAAAGGAAAGTTTTAAGCCTAATCTGAAAAGTAGAGATAGTGTCTGTCTCCTGAATCCAAACTGGAAGCTGGTTCCACAGAAGAGGGGCCTGAAAACTGAAGGCTCTGCCTCCCATTCTACTTTTAAATACTCTAGGAACAACAAGTAGGCCTGCAGAGCGAGAGCGAAGTGCTCTAATAGGGTGATATGGTACTACAAGGTCATTGAGATAAGATGGGGACTGAATATCCAAGACCTTGTATGTGAGGAGCAGGATTTTGAATTGTTTCTGCATTTAACAGGAAACTTCTGTTTGCGAGGGGCAGCCAATCAGAAGACAGTTTGGCTGCACCAGGAATTTCTTCAGTTGTAAATAACGTGAACAGGGCCCAAGAATAAAAATATGGAGCAAGAAGCGAGCATAGTAGGGATCTCCTTCACTTCAGCCTGTACATGTTTTACAGGACAACCCACCTCCCCACCCCAACACCACACAACTGGGTTTCTAGTTTTTTTGGTTTGAGTTTACCGAATACACCATCAGCACCACCACCAGCACCACCACAGATACCCGCTCTCCATACTGGGTGAACCCCGCTCACATACAGTATGGCTGCTGCACTAACACTGGGTTCAAGTGAAGCATAAACCAGAGGTGGTGGTGGGGGAAAGCTGCTTTGTGATGACGCAGCACGGCGCTGAGTCGACATATTTTCCACAGCTCGCTTTATTTACCAGCTCACAAATACCCAAAAGACACGAGACGAGTTGGTCGGACAGGCTGTCAGTGTTTTTGTGAATGGAGACACGAGAGAGAGAGAGGGAGAGAGAGCGAGATGCTTGTTTGGTTCCGCTCGGCGATTCAAAGCAAAGCCAAACAAAGTCCCGACAGCCAAACAGCCACGGACACGCATTAAACACACTTACTTTCACTTCCGATTGCGAGGCGTCGATGATCAATACTAATACCTGATACAACGGTATGACTCTCGGTGGCAGATCGATACAATGTAACAACACATTTTTTCTCCCTCCCCTTCTTCCTCCCGCACAGGAATGAACACAGTGAAACGGCGAGGCGATCTAAAGCTCTCCGTCCCTACAACAGCGCCGAAACCAGCAGCCCCCTCACAGCTTTTAGACGGCGGGCTTTAACGAGCTCCCACATGAGAATAAGGGTGCAGAAAAGGCGATTAAATAAAAGGATCTACCATCTTACCTAAGCGGTGCTGTGTTTCAAAATGGTAGCGCCTGCTTCCGTTTGAACGTCGGGCATACTGCTGGAGAGGCTGCAGAGGGGGAGGGCTGCTGCTGCTGCTGCTGCACCGGGAGGATGCTGAATCCTCACAAAAGAAGAGCCACCAAAATGACTCAAGCACACACAGAGACTCGCATGAGCCTTTGTGTTTTACAGATGAACAAAGCCCCCAAACAACAAGCGAGGGGGGCTCAATTAATGATGGCACGTTTACATCCAAGTGCAGGATTATTGTTTATGTGCGATCCTAATATCGACAGTATCGATATCAACGCCGGTATTGGTAATGGATCGATATTGGCACGATGAGATCGATATTTTTACGTATTATTTGTTGAGTATGTAGCCCATAGAATTGTGTTATGTATTTATTTATTTATTATTAGATAGGTGGTGGTGTGTGTTAGAGGAAAGTGTCCAAAACCCTATTTTATTATTTTATTTATAGCCCATAGCAAATTTAAACAAGACAAGCTGCTTCAGAAACATTTATGTTTCAGGTCGCCAAAACCCACATTTGAAGCGTGTGGTAATAGACTATTGTGTATTGTGAAAATCTATGTTTTTAGGTCACTGACGTGTGCAGATTTTGCAGACTGATGATGATTCATCTCATAAAGCATGACACACTGCTCTCTAATACATAAGCTGCCTTTATAGGTTAAAAGTATCGGTATCAGTAATCCTGGCCCTGTATTTACAGTATCACACAGCACTAGTGGTCCCAATTAAAAAGACACACTAATTAACTGATCCGTAGTTGTGCTGATTTATTTAGCTGTAAATCAAACATTTGGATTTGTGCTTCCTGCTTTGATATTAGATTAAAAAAAATACAGCTGTTTTTGGGTGTCCAGCTATAACAATGAGTCTTCATTCAAAGCCCAGCCACTTCAAACAGAAAGGGACAATGACAGAACATTTACTGGGAAATTCAATAAACTTATTCGAGCATCAGCAGAACAAGACAGATGCTCGATTTGGAGGAAAAAAAAATCAATCCAAAATGTGCCACAGACACAGACAGCGCACCAACATGTGGCTGAGGTATATGCAGGGGCAGCAGTTTGGACAACTTCATGATTCACCCGTCCGACTTTCCTAAAAGATAACAGAGAGGGGGTGTCTGAGATTGTCAGCTGCCCTCTCTGTGTGGCTCAAACGCCCTCTGCAGCAGTGATAAAGGAACACTAACCTCACTCTCCATGTTGGAAAGAAAAACAGCTGAGCACACAATCCTTCAAGGACTCCCTCTGTCACTTTTTAACCCCCCCCTCCTCGCCCCCTTTCACTCTGGAAGGAATTTCACTCTCCCTCCTGGGCTCGTTTTAAACTCTCCTGCAGAGTCGATCCCAAAGAGAGGGACGGTCTCCCCCTTCATCACAGATTTTTTCTAAATATTTTTTAAAATCAAACACACACATCTCAGCGATCCTGGAATTTCAGGATTTGGTTTTCCAACAACTTTTTGCATATTCTACTTAAAACAAATATCATTACTTGTGACCCACCTATGAGCAATCATAATAATCTTCCGCATCACATCCTCTTTAATTTTTCTACTTAATAAAACTCAAATATGTGGAGATGACAAGTGCTTTAGAGAGGCTTATATAATTACTCACATGTCCCTGCAAGTGGACGGCAACACAGAGAAATTAAATCTGTAGCTGAGAAAACATTTACAGACATCCTGCTGAGGAGGTGACATGTTTAAAATGCTCAGAAAAACATTAAACAGCAACTGCAGAGAGCGTTTGATTCGATCACAAAGAGCATTTTCACAAAATTAAGTCCATTCATTGCTGTTTGGTCATCAGTGCAGTAATCTTCAGGACTCTGTCTTCCTCGCGTCAGCACTCGCGCTCCGCCGAGAAACACAATCTGCATTTCTCTTCGAGACGCTTTTTGTTCCCCTTGTTCAAACTCTCATCAGTGTCCAGAGGTTTGAGAGGTTCACAGGTGTGCCGCCGGTGTCTCCGGGTTGTTCTTGCTCCGACCTTTCCCGGCTATTGGCCGGTCTCTCTCCTCCCACAGCGTGACGCCGTCGCAGGCACAAATCTGTTTGGGATTTTGGAAAAGTCCCGCCGATCGGGCGATGATCCCACAGGCCAGCCTGCACAGGGAAAAAACAAAAACAACAAAACAAAAAAGAACAAAGAAATTTAAAATACCTACAGTTGACCAATTTAAAGTGCCTGAAATAATAATTTTGATACCAGCGTTACGTCACATTGCATTTTTCATTATTTAAGTTTTGAGATTTTAGTTAATTAATCACAAAAACACTGAGTTAGTGCTGTGGTCATGACTGATATCCAGGTGAAAGGATTACTGGCACAGAACTGGGCGATGCCAGCAATCAAACACTAGTCAGTCAGTGAAAACAAACATTTCCTGGTCTTGAACAAAGGTGCAGAGGACCTCTGTAACACTGGCAGTCTACAGGAGTTACAGAGGAGTTACCCAGCTATTAAGAGTAGTTCAGAAGCTACAGCAGCCATCGACTAATTAGAAGGCAGGTGATTTGAGCCCAGGCTGCTCCTCTTTACATGCCAAAGTATCCTTGGGCAAAATACTGAAGATACTGACCCCCTAAGTTGCTCTCCGATGCATTCACTGAAGTGTGAATGTTAGATAGAAAGCACTCGGGTGAAAAAAAAGTGCTTGTATGGGTGTGAATGAGCGATGGGGGCACGTTGTATAAAGCTTCGAGTGCTGCAGCAGAGTAGAGCGTTTAACATTAGAGGGCTTTAATAAAACTAGCAGATAGTCTACAGGTGGCCAGGAAATTTACAGCAGTCTGACAAATCTGTTTCTCCTCCTCTCGTTACTAATAACAGAACTAACAGCTCTTATATACACACGTCATTTGGATATGCAAATATTATTTTAGGCACACTGTACGACTCAAAAACTCTATGACCAATGCAGGAGGGACAGGAACCATGTTTGTTGCCTGCCTCGGGTCCTGGAAGCATGCAGGGTCTTGCAGAGAAGGCTGTTTGCAGTGAATCGCCCTCTCGGTGGAACAGATGCCACGCTGCCGTCAGACTCTGTCCTTGAGCACCAGATGGTAATCATGGAGGTGAGGATGGACTCAGCACAGCAGTAATGGTCGGGGCTTTGAAGCAGGCTGGCTCATGACGCGTCTCCACTGAGGTGCTGAAGGTGACTCTGGAGACAGGAGGATGTGGTGCTTCGGCGTGGATGGAGACAGGTGGTGTAGTCCAGCTGCTTTCTGGGGTTTCTCTCTCTCTCTCTCACAGGTATGTAGAGAGGTGTTGCAGTCATAGAGGAGTGGTTTGTGGGGGTGGGTGGAGTCTGAATGTTGATTTGTTGACAAGTGGGCCTGAACAGGGAATGAGGTGACAGTGGAGCTCACCAGGAGTGGGACAAGTGTGGAAAAACCCATCAAAGATAGTAAAGTACAGCTTGAGCAGCACAGGGAGTGGCTGCAGTGAACGCTTTTCATTGTTCAGATGAAACAGCAACAGACTGGCTGCACCACATATTTTTGATACTGCACCCATCTGACAACAGACGCTCTCTGGAGGTAGACAGATAGCCTGGAGCTCTCCACGGACTACCAACGTACTCCTGCTTTGAACCAACACTTCCTCATTAGCTTAGCTTTGATCCAGAGCTTGTCAAAAATCTGTTTTTGTTAGAACGAATATTTGCTTAAAAAAAAGATTTGTATCATGACTTCATTCACTAATTCGTGTTTCAGCTCTGGCAGGCAGAGGATGGAAAACTATGTGAAGATGCTGGGATGAAAACACGCAGCTCCCAGTCTGAGGCTGTGGTTCTCAGCCAGTGGAGTTAGGAGGGCCCGCTCTGAGTTGGGATGAGTTACTGTCAGCAGTGGAGAAGTTCCAAGTCACATCTGTAGGAACATGGATGCTCTACTGGTCTGCTGTGAGGAAGAGAGAGCCAAGCGTGAAAGTGAAGCTACTTTATTTACTTATCGCCGGATCTACATTCCTACCCTCACCTGAGGCTATGAGTTGTGATTAATCAACGGATATGAGATTCTTCCAAAGGATGTCAAGGATCTCCTTTAGAGACGGGTAGAGAGGCTGCGAGCCCACATTGAAAGGAGACAGCTGAGGTGGTTTGGTTTTACTAGGATGCCTCCTGGATGCTTCCTAGGTGAGGAGTTTTAGGCAATGTGGGAGAAAGCCCAGATCAAACTGAGAGATTATATCTCTCATTTGGCTTGGCGATGCCTCAGGGTCCTCCTAGTAGAGCTGGAGGGAGTTGCTGGGGAGATGGAGGTCTCGGAGGCATCTCTGCTTAGATAGTTTCCCCGTGACCAGAACACATAGGTGGTGGAAACAGGTTGGATGGATGATTCTGGAGATTTTTTGCTCAAACTGTCATAAAAGGTGAGCAAAGTTAGCACAAATCTTTTTAATGCTAACTGGTTACTTCGTTTTTCAGCAATAATGCTAATGTATTGCTGATGTCCCAACAGTATAGTGAGCACGAAATATTTATTTTCTTCACATTTTACAAAGTAAATAATTTACTTGTTGTCGAAGAAAATTGGCTTCAATGGTGGGTGATGAAAACGGCCGATAACTGCTGTTTTGTGATGTAAAGCAAAGTGAATCCATGAATGAACTGGAAACCAGCCTGAAGCTACGCATGTTTAACACAAACCACCTTCACACCCACCTTTCTCCAGAGTTCCCAGTCTGTTTGGAGAGAGGGTGACCTCCTCGACCCAGGTCGTCCTCACCTGCGTCCACAACCAGTGATCGACCAATCACATCCCACACCTGGAAGCAAACAGACCAAGGCACGCTGTTCAGCTCCTGTGGCTAAGTACGAGTGCCAAATATAACTCTGTGTTACCTTAAGCTGACCGTCCTCCAGTCTAAATGAGGCTCTCCCGTCTGGTCCAGCGATGACATTTCCCAGATCGCCGACATGCTGTGTACAAAACAGTACCTGTGAAAACTTAACTGTACGTCAAGTGGTTCAGTGAAGTATAAAACTATTAAAAAATAAGGAGTTAACAGCATGGCAGAGTTACAACTCTTTCACACACTTCATTTAAAATTTAGCACCTGGAGCAGAAGAGCCCAAAACGGCTCCTCCGGGACGTGTTTGGCAATCTGAGCGGGTTATCGCATCTCGCATTTGGCCTCCGCTGACATTTTAATACAAGCCAGAAGGAGGTACAGTCTGAATTTATGACACAAGGATCCTAGCACTGCTGATCGCTCTACTTATGAAAATGAATGACTTTATGGAGAGGTTATTTTAGAGCGAGCTAAAGAAGTAATTTATCGTACCCTGTCGGAGTCCTCTGGACTGCCGTGTTGTCTCCCAAAGGGGTTATAGTGCTCTCCACAACTGCAGAGAAAGGAGAGCATGATTAGTTTGAGCATCTCTCTATAAAAGGGATCCATGATCATCATCTCCACCTTCCATAATGTTATTGTTGGAGTTGGTATAGACTGTCCGGGGTGTTTCCTACTTAAACTTTGGCCATGTTTAATATACTGTAGCATCTGGTGAGCGGTGGGAGAAAACACCTTACTGTTGATTTCAGAGGTCAGACTGGTTCAAGTTGATAAGACGGCAACAGTTACTAAAATAGTAAAAGTAACAAAGAACGGGGGCCGAGGAGGAAAACAATGGCAACATTTTATTTGTTTCCATCGGTTAGCTTTACATTACACGAACACATGGCAATTAACATGTAACACGCCAGCACAAGCATAAATGCCAGCATGTCCGCCACTTGTAACGCAGGTTACATCATAGGCTCCATAAAGATCCTCTACAGAAGCCTAAATCAGGCCTGAGTCACTATAACTGGACGAGAGAAGATCAGAAGAACGTCGCCTGGTCTGATCGGCTCTGAAGGAAAAAGGGAGTCTAGGTGTACCTAATGAAATGTCTGGTGAGTGTATAAGGCAGAAAGTAATGAAAACAGGTAGAGGTGTGAGGGACTTGATGATGGATGGATCTGTCCCTCAGTTTTCTCATTTGTGAGTTTGACGACAAAGACTTCACACGAGCGTATTTTACTCCCCCTGATGTCCGATACGTTTTACATCTCTGCAGGACGGCGTCAACAAAGAATAAAAATGCTAAAGCTACACGCCTGTGAGCAACAGTTAACGCCGCCCGTCAATATGCGCTCGGTTAATTGAATTACTGAGCCTAAACTGACAAGTGGAAGCTTAAAATGACACACTGTCCCATTAACACGTTAAATCAGCGGGATTTCAGATGAACTCCGCTAAAGCCCTGTTTTTAATTAAAACCATAATTACATTACACAATAATTTCATCTCTCGCTGCCGTCTTCTCCGAGGCAATAAGAGCTGAGGCTCATGGGTACAACAGTATACAATGTCCCTCAGAGACACAGATGAGATAATTAAAACTGACAGCTGTAACATAAGCCCGTACGTATGCGTGGGAGTTTTGAAGGTCATCGCTTGCCTCGGTACCACAAACCCCGTTTTTTGTTCTTTCACATCACAGGTCAGACCACACAGATTTTTCTTTGCGGGAAAAGAAACCAAACCGCAGAGAAAAGCTAAAAGTTTACAAACTCGTCAACTGATTCGGACCAGAGTAAACGAACTATGGGTGTGAAAAGGCCCGAGACTCATAACCATGACTCTTTCCAGGGTTGAGCTTAGGAAAAGTGTAAATCACCAATGACTCCCCATCTCCTTCACACTCTACACGATGCTGATGAGCTGATGAAACTGGTATGAAACACTGGTCTAACCTGAGGCAGTCCAGTGTGAGGTCCCCCAGCGTGTGAACGTGGAGACCGTGGGGTCCGGGCTCCAACCCGTCAATGGTCCCGTCAATCAGGCAGCGTTCCTCGGACAGCTGCAGGAAACGCACCACCCCCTGAATCGATCCGGCACCGGCTAACATGGCCACCGCTGCACCCAGATCTGCCACGGAAAAACAGAGAGGGTGAAGCACTTACTTGTGTTGGGGTAGTGCTGTGATCAGACTGCTTCACATTAGATTTTATCTGTAGGGAGCTGTGAGCTCAACATAAAATGAACCAGTTTAAAGCTACAGAGAGAGGCAGACTGTGCTAGGTTGTGGGGCTGAGTGCCTATCTTATAGTGCTGTGCTTCACAGATTAAGTAAGGATGGAAGACAAGGCTCGGAGGTCTCCGGTGTAGTCAGGATGATCTTTGTGTTCACACTTTAAAGCAGATCAGCTGATATTTAGTCCATGTTTAAATCATAAACTGCCCTCAGTGCATGCAATCACACGGTTACTGACCTGTGATTGGATCAGCAGAATGTATCTGACTGAGACTTGCTACCACAAACAGAGGTTCAACTAATGAAACTCCATTTTGGCTGTTTTATGAGGCATCTTTGTTTAGCAGGAAGTCCGATAAATCAACTCAAAGTTACCACACTGTACCGCGCTGAATATCTGCAAGGAATGGCCCAAATACCTGGCTAAATATTATCTGCATTCACCCGGTTTTTAATTCATCAAAATAAGTGGGAACTACATTTTTCAAATATTACATTTAATCAGCTGTATTTTGCCTGCACGGTCTACAGTTTGGTACATGGACTCTTGCACTCTTCCCAAGATTAAACAGGACTATAAATCCGACTCAGCTGTGGTACTGGAAAGCTTCAGCGCAGGCACGTGCAGCTCCTGCTGCCGTTCCTCCTCACCTTGCTCTGATCCTCCGATGCCCTTCAGCACGGCCCTCCGTCCGGTGCTCTCTATCAGGGCCTGCACTTCTGCACTGGTCAGAGCAGATTCCACCAGCACCTGCTCCTGACCGACATCAATACTGACCGAGTTCACGCCTGCAAACACACCAAAACCATCATCAGACAGACAGACGGAGAATAACACGAATGCAGACAGCTGAGGAGAACATTCAGCGATGCGAATAATCTAAAAACAGAAACAGTTTGCCTAGGATTTATCTAATTTTCATTTTCTTAGATTTACTGCTTTACACTGATCTATATCAATGAAAATCTACCCTCATTAGGTACACTTATTCAACGACCTCCACAGTCACCAGCTCTCTGTCTAATCGAGCACCTTTGTGATGTGGTGGAGGAGGAGATTCAAATCGTGGATGTGTTGCTGTCATGTGGACCAAAACCTCTGAGGAATGTTTCTAGCACCTTGTTGTGTCACAAAGAATTAAAGCAGTTCTGGAAATAAATTGGTCCAACCTGGTACTAGCAAGGTTTTATTTTTTTATTGGGTTGTGTCTACATTTTCTTGTTTATATCTGTATAATATGTAGTCTATAGCTGGTTTGTTATTGTGAAAATGTTAAAGCTTTATTGTTTTCTAATAACATCCAACACTTGCTGGAGACAGAACCATGAATGTTATTTCCTGATAAGAGTTTTATTAGTTGTGGTGAGATTAATGGCTGTTGTTTTTCTCTCTTCAAAGTTATGTTGTTGTTTCAGCTGCTCCCTTAAGGGGTCGCCACAGCAGACCATCTGCTTCCATCTCACCCAGCATTAACATCCACCTCTATCACACCAACACCTGCGTGTATCTTCACTACATCCATGATCACCTCTGTGATCTTCCTCTTTTCCTTCAACATCCTTTGTCCATTATATCCACTATCCCTCCTCTGCACATAGGGCTGTTCGATATAACGATATATATCGGATGATGATATAAAAACGTCTATGTTTCATTTTATGCTATAGTTTGTTTCGTGGTGTCGCAAAATAAACTGTTTACAACAATATTTTTTCATTGTTTTGATGGTCACTGCAGTGGCTATATTAATTTCTTAAAGTTCTCTCTTTCTCTTATATTTAATATAACCACACTAGGGACGGACAAGCGCCTGTTTTTATGCGTTGTGGTTAGCAACAATGACTGTAACACCATCGCGTGTCCGCTTGTTTATGTTCCACATAAACCTTTCACAATAAAGCTCAAGATCCTGTTGAGACTTTTCAAAATAAACTGAATCACATGAAAGAGCAGATTATTTACGGATGAGAAGCAAAAAAGAGCCACCAGGTGCTAAAAAATAAACATTACACTCAAACATTAGAACAGGCTTTTCCCCGCAGCACGCCGCGTAATGAATGCTCACAAAGAAAACTGCGGCATTTACAACTTATGTCTAAAAATGTATCGTTTCATGCATCTGTTAAAACACTCGACTCCAGCTACATGACGCGCAGCTGGAAACACTTCACGCAAGTCGAGCTGCCCGAGATTCACAGAATTTACAGAAAATGTTAAATTTTTGTGATTTATATCGTTATCAGACGATATAATTCTTATATCGGGATATGAGAGTTTGGTCATATCGCACAGCCCTATCTGCACATGTCCAAACCATCTCAGCCTCGTCTTCCAGCCTTTGTCACCAAACGGCCAAACCTTCAGCTTTCCCTCTGATGTACTCATTACTAATTCTGTCCATTCTGGTCACTCAGTATGAAATACCATCATCTCCAAATCACAAATCAAATCATTTTTTCTTATAAAGTTGTGGATTGCTCGGTGCTCAATATGGTTTGACTCACTTAACAGGAAACAGGATGCTTCATATGTGTTGCATTACACACTCGCCTGCACTGATGGAAGTGCCTCAGCATTCAGTTAAGATGAAGCAGCTGAAATGACACCGTCTCTACTATATGACTAATGCTCCCTTAGAGTTCAGTGGGCGCTGCAGAAAAATGCAGGATCTTTCTGGAAACATCACTTGTTGCTTAGTGTAATGAGTTTACTTTAATATTGAAATGCAAAATCATGCTAACCAGCGTTTGTACTGCACTTTTAAGTGCGTAGGATGCAGAAAACTTCAGCAGTCCCTGTTTGTAGGAAAGTAAACAATGCAGTGGGGGTCAGCAGCTCTTTCTACATGTGCTTGCTCACCTGGTTTGCCCTCCAGAGCTGCTCTGACTTTCTCCCCGCAGCTTTCACACGTCATCTGCACCGCAAACTCCAGCTGTGGAGGACAGAGCGGACATTAAAACAGCTGGAGCCACCTGACAAGTGCACAGCAAACTGCGTAGGACGGCGACGCCGCGGTAAAGCGGCTTCAGCTCGCAAACTCATGTTTAACGCAAAAACGTAAAATAACGTCACCACACAACAAAAAAACGGGTTTACAGAGGGTAAAATGTGCCGACAAACCTTTGTGGGCCTCTGACAGTCCATGTTGTTAGAGCAGTGCGCCGCCTGGGCAATGAACACTGAATTAAACAGAAAACTTCCCACTTTTCGAGAAACGGAAATACAATGTTTGCTAATGGGCGCCGCCATGTTTGTGAGGTCAGAGTGACGTTCCGCCCGTTGCCGCCGTCAAGTGTCCACCAGCTGGTACTGCAGCCTCCTGTTTTACACGAAGAACACTTCACAGGAGAAGTGTTTGGCTTTATTAAGAGAGCGCTAAGTGATGTTATTCTTCAATTAAATCCTCGGAAAATAAAATAAATATTTAGCGTAACAAAAAATGTTTTACTCAAATCTAGTTAAAATACGCTGCTTAAATATAAACAGTAAAAGCTACTTTTCAGAGTCTTACCCAAATTATATACATAGACATATTTTAATGTTGTAGTATATTAATGTAGAGCACATAATCAATCTAATCAAATCTATGTACACTGATCACATGCACATAATCCAATTATTGTCAATTAATTATCTGAAACTATTTAAAAACTGCACTTGTAATTATATCATTATATAACCACTTACTTTACACCAGTTAATTGGTATGATAATGTAATAATAAAACCAGCATCGGAATCTGAAACTTCTTAAAAGATTATATACAGGAAATTTCGGTTATCAAAACCGATTTATTTAGATTTTATAAGAGATGAAGCAGTGATGTGACTGCACGTAATACACAACTTAGCAAAAATATATATCTTTATATTCTATTTTAGCTTTAGACACTGTTTTGAGCAGCCTTTCACAAAACTACATTTGCTCCTAAACACAAAAATTGCTCGTCCCTGGGTGGGCTCGAACCACCAACCTTTCGGTTAACAGCCGAACGCGCTAACCGATTGCGCCACAGAGACTGTTGCAGCCAATAATACATTTCTCGTCTTCTCATGGTTTCGATCATGTCACTGGTAAGTAGGGCTGAGTATCGTCGCTTATCAGCTGCTGGATGGTTGCTGAAAAAGTTTTGTGAGCTTTAACCTGGGATTCTGGCGTTTTTGGCTAAATACATTTATATTGATACATTTATAAATGTATTTTTAAATTTATATATTTAATGAAACGATATCGCTAAGTCTAGCAAAAAAGCTTGTTGTTACTTTTAAGTAAGCAAAGATGTCAACGTTACCGCTGCGTATAAAGCAAAATTGGCATTAGGCGTGTGTTCTGTGCTTTATGCTCAAAAGCACAAAAAGCGCTCGTCCCTGGGTGGGCTCGAACCACCAACCTTTCGGTTAACAGCCGAACGCGCTAACCGATTGCGCCACAGAGACTGACGGTGCACGGCAGACGGGGCTTTGTCCACCAGTGTTCTCGTTCTACGTTGCCGGTCAGTGTGCATTTGCAGACAAACGAACACCATGTTCAGGCCTCCAGAACAAAAGGCAGAAGCAAGAAGAAGAGCTTTGAATGTCCTTCAAGAAGCCTGGAGAACTATTCCCAAAAAACTACTTACAGAAATGACTACAAAGCTGCCTAAGAGAGTTCAGACTGAGTTGGAAAATACATGTGGACTTTCAAGGTTGTTAGAAGCTTGGTAAACAAACTGTCAATCAATGGACCTATGGCCAATTTCCCTATTAAAACATAAGGAAATGATGGGTCAGCAGTACTGGATGCAAATGCTGTACTGTGTTACACTGAAATGTTTACTAATTGTTAATATCAATAGACAGAATGGTGACATAAAAATGTTGAATGCTTGAAATTGATTTGAGCTACAATTACAGTTTAAACAACTACACAGGATTAACAAAGTCAAGATATCCTGTAGTGTTTATGCAAAAATTCAATACTGGCTTAAACTGCCGGCTCTCTGGATTGATCTGGCAGAACAACAGCAAAACGATTTTTAAAGGATGGCTTCTCCTGTGGGATTTGTCACATTTAAACCATTACATCCATCAAATCCATTTAAGCTGATTTTCATTCCTTACTGAACTAATAAAAAAAAATCCTATAGCCACAGTGAGTCACAATTATCAGACAATGTATTAATGTGGTAATGAGAGGAGAGCACACTGAAACAGTCAAGGAACATTATGAAGATATGGAAGGACTGTGGAAGGACAGGAACAGCTGGCAGCAGAAGATATAAGATTAGATTTACCCTCTGCTTACTGGTCCTCCAGTTCAGTTTTACAGGCTGTATCGATTATTGCGGATTAACCCTTTAAAGCCCAAACCATTAAATAATTGAGTGTTTATTTAACCTTCTGACAACGAAAATCTATATTCTTTGTATCATATTTGCTCCTTTTTGTGAAATTTATTGTTTAAAAATGTAATGTGCAATTTTTTTCGGTTTTTAGTGGGGAAATAAAACCCACACGGATGATATGTTCTCAAAAACTCACAGAAACTGTCAAATATGATACACTATGCATTAAAGCTCTACATACGGCACAGGAGAGATCACCTCGAAACTAGATGCCCTGTTCCCAGATTTTTGGAGGTTCATGAGGAGGCCATCGCCTGCTGGTGTTTCTGCTGTTTCAACCACTTCAGTGGTCACAGGTGTATAAAACCAAACACCGAGGCATGCAGACTGCTTCTACAAACATTAGAGAAAGAACGGCTCGCTCAGGAGCTCAGTGTACTCCGTGAAATTTCCTTACTACTAAATATTCCACAGTCAGCTGTTTTGTGGTATATAACAAAGTGAAACTGGTGTAGAGCAGCGGAGACGACCAATCCCGTTTCTACATCTGGTGATGTGATTGACGAGTCTGACAGTTGCCGGGAGAACAGTCCTTGTCTGACTGCATTGTGCCAAGTGTAATGTTTGGTGAAGGGGGAATCGTTGTGTAGGGTTGATCAAAACTGGTCAAAAGTCCCCATAAACACCCCTAAACCTTGTAGAAAGACTTCTCAGAAGAGCTGAAGCTGTTATACCTGCAAACAGTGGGCTGACATTATATTAAACCCTACGGATTAAGAATGACACGTCACTTGAATTGATATACGTGCGAAGGCAGACGAGTGAATACTTTTGGCAATATAGTGCATGGCTCTCTGTAATACTTTTGATAGCATAGGCGAGCCATGGGGACGTGGGATGATGTCAGAAAATCTGGGTCACAGGTCTAAAATAAAAGCTATGAAAATGAAACCTTCTCCAACTAAATTTGGGCGTGTAAGTATAGAGAGTGACACACATTCGCCACTGCGGACGTAGGCTCGTGCGCGCGGTGTGTCGATCCCAAAACAGGACGATCATTGTGTCAAAACAACACAGAGAGGCCGATGTCTTACACAGAAGAAAGCCGAGCGGCAGCTCAGCGAGAACACAGCGTCTTCTGTATCGGGTGCCTCGCTGGCTTTGACCTTTGACCCCGTGCCGAGTAATATGACCATATCCTTTAAGAGGGCCGAGCCAGTGTGCGCCAGGCAGAAAACACGAGTGCAGCCATTTTTGTGTGTGCCGAGCAGCCTTTTTCTCACACACACACACACACTGCCCACACAGCTAATTTATTCAGTAAATGGGAAACTGGTTACAACCTTTGCCCTCATGTTGAGCCGCAGCACTGAGCTCGCCGGTCAAAGGAGTGCCACCTGAGCCCAGGGGAGTGGGTGGTGGTGGTGGTGGGGATTTCATTAACACACACATACAGAAACAGGCACAAGACAGCGAGGAAGCGGCAGGAAACCTAATAACTACTCGAACATCGTCCAGAGCAGATTTAGCGAGAGAGAACAAAGGAGCGAGGTAAGAGGACAGGAGATGGTGAAATTAGTTGGAGGAAAAAAATGTGTCTGCTGGAAGGAGCAAATGAGAAAAAGACGAGAGAGGAGACAAGGCAACGCAAATGTGAGAAGGCAGCTGTGGGAAAAATAAGAAAGATGACAAAGAGGAGTGTGGGAATGCGTGTGTGAGTGTGTTTGGACGGCAGTGCGAAGCAGTGCTGACAGGATGTGTTGACAGGCCCGTTTGGAACAGTAGAGGTTTTATCTGTGCTAATAAATGAGGCCCTATATCCCATCCTACACGGGCCTATTAAAAACTGACCTGCAGTCTGTTGTACTTTCTTATTAAATATTTCAAGTGGGTGGAGCAGCTCCCGTTTCATTGATTACCGCAAAGCAAGCAAATCTTTATTTTTAGAGCCAGGGAGAAACGGAGAGGTAGAGAGGACTCGCACACAGCAACCAACTCATGCGTTTAAATCTAACAATGAATACAAAGACAGAGGTAATCAAAGGCTGGGGAGAAAGGAAATGCTTCGGCCTCCGTGGCGAGCGGCACAGTTTTTACAGCTCACACCATTCGTCATAATAGGGCGTATTAAGGCACTCACAAGGATGTCGTTATTATGTTTTTTTAAGTACACAAATCAAATTAATGTGTAACGAATTCAGTTTGGTTTATTATAGTTTATATATAACTAATTGAGAAGAAGCGTCATTGAAAAGTAATTTACCGACAAAGAACCCACTTTATTAAAGAGCTAGTTCCAATACTCTGGTTAATTGTTATCCAGTAGGGAGGTAGGAACAACTCCTGAAACCTCCAGCAGGAGCAGAAGCAGGGAGGTGCAGCTATCTGCTGGAACTGGACATTCTCATGTAACTCTCAGCTGGTTAAAGCCCATAGCATAGTTGCTCCACAGTGTGGTGGGTTACCCCACACAAGTAAAAATCCCTGCCTCGACGAGCGTGAACGTGCATCCAATTCTAAAAGTGTGCACGAGACACTAAGAGGCTTCACCATCACTTTTGCTGGTTGGACAGACTTTAGTTCATTGCCACCAGGGCGGCGGTGTCCAGCTGTCACAGAGTGACAACACATACCCTGGACAGGTTGCCAGTTCACCACGGGGTGAGAAGAACTGGCAACGCATACGACACGCTTCCACAAGAGCTTCTTTCCAACAAAAGTCAGACTGTTGGTGAAAAAACCCCTAAAATACAGACAAAATCTATCTCATCCAGGAGTGCAATACATATCTTTTCATACTTGTCCTTTAAGTGCAGTATGGGAATTAATGTTTCATAATTGAAATTACTTGAAATTGTGTCCCCTTACTTTACCTCACTGTGCACTTTGGTTTGTATTTGTATATAAATATAAATTTATTTGGCTTTGACTCTAAGCTCTGCGCATCAGATTTGCTTTGTATGCA